TTGTTTCAAGAAAATTTGTGTTTACAGTAAGTAAGGAAAACACTGTAGCGGAAAGTTTGCCAACAATTTTTCGATAAATCGACAAGATCAAAGATATCTTAGCTTTGCAGTACTTTGCGAGAATTTCAACTTTTTTCCGCTAAACCTTTTTTGGAAAAAGATAAGAATATTGTTTACTAAGGTCACATCTTCCAAGAAAATACCAACTTAACAATGATTACTCGAGAGAACGGTATAAGGCTGAATTTGGGGAGAGAGTCGTTGGTAAGACTACTCCGAATTTCATCAGCTATGAAAGAACTCTCGGTTTCCAAAAATTAATCGGAGAGAACAACTCGAAGTAGGACTAACGGTTTTAGTCGTCAACCGACTAAGTTGTTGAAGTCTAGGTACGACTCTAAGGTTCAGCCTTTCTCTTTATGGATAGATTTGAGGTTCCCAAGATAAAGTGTTTAGTCCCTGGTTGGGTAAATTCCTAATTGGTAAACTTTGTAACCGAATTTCTCAATGACGTCAGAAACATTCAATATGAAGCAAGGAAAATTGGTGTAATACTAGGAAGTTGGTCGATGATGTACCTCACTTCACAATTTGGTGATATCCCAGCTAAGATTTTGGAATATGACGCCAAAAGTATACGTCCTCAAAATTTACAATACTACTAACCAACTCTGCAACATGAACTAAAAGGTCTTCACAGTTTCCTCGACACTCAAATCACTCTAACAATGAGATATTATCCTTATGTCGATTCTACTGTCTACCTGTGGAAGTGATCAAGAGGTGGCTAGTTGAAGAGGTTTCGTTTACCTAGGTAGGTGATAAGGTAAAAACAACCATGAGTTTACTGTCCTAATACAAAGCTTGTTCCTAAGCTTCCATGATCCTTATCTATTCGGCTCAAGTAGCCATTGTTGATCAGTTTATCAATTGCGTCACTAATTAACGCACTTAGGATATTTTAATATTATTAGCTATTTGAAATTGTGAAATGGCATTCTGGGTTAAAGGTATCACTCCCAAATACTAGTACTTGCATCCAGTATCAGAAATCATACCACCGAATACTGGTTAACGGTCTCTGGATATCAGATAGCATTGTCAATTAGTAGCGCCACCGTAGGCTGATTACAGGTTAGAGCCTATTCAAGTAGTAAGCTTTGAATGATTGGGAAGGAACTAGTCAAGTGAAGTAGTTCATTGATTCAAGGAGGATTTGGTAACTGTTTTTGGGAGTTCTACTACTCCCAGGATATGACAACTCATACTCGTAAGCTTATATTCACCCAAATGACGAATACAACATTGAAAGGAAAGCCTGGGAATTGGCGTTTGGTTAGAAAGTTCTAGGGCTGGAAAAAGACCTTGCTAAAGATCTACTTTGAAAAAGACTTTATCAGGAGTCGATCTTCTTCGTGAAGATCCAACATGGACACCAGTACATTTGAAGATATTAGTGTTAACATGGACCAAAAGTGATTGTCCATGATCTTCTGTCAAGTGCTACCATTTTAGCACTAGGTTGTCACTTCAGACATTTCTAGAATCTTGACAAAATAACCTTCGTAAGGATTATAAGATAGGGTAAACTAATAAGTGCTACCAAAGAAACAAAACCATTTATGGTTTCCTAACTAGAAGGGTAGGTAGAAACGGTGGAAAAAAGTGATAAGATTGATCGGTAAATCCTTGGTGATACTCAACCCTTGATACATTAGCCTGGCTGTGGGGCTAGCAACTCATTTCCCAAAACAGAAGTTCCTTGGTAAGGGAGCTCATTGTTTAAAGTTTAGGGGCGATTGCCAAAATGAATTTCTAAAATGACGATAAGTCGTCTAAAGTACTCAAAACTTCGGGAAAATTAACACGTTTTTTGTGCTCAATGAGGTGGCAAGATTCGACACTTAGGTTCAAGAACCAAGAATGCTTACATCACGCGTGTGATGAACGCAATATTGCCCAAACTTATGCTCTGATAACAAACTGACACAACTCGATTTCAGAGTCCAAGTGGACTTTCCTGGTCGGGGTGTGTCAGTTATTGTTAGATCCTACATTGCTCAGGGGAGAGGATCTTCTATGCCTTATATGTACATGTCTAGCTCGATATAGCACGAGACCTTTTGAGAGCTCACTAGCTTCGGAGTTCATCAAAACTCCAAAGTTAAGTGAGTTCGCGCGAGAGCAATCCTAGGATGGGTGACCCACTGGGAAGTTTTCGTGTGAGTTCTCAGAAAAAAAATCGTGAAGGCGTGGTTGGGGCCCAAAGAGAACAATATCGTGCTACAGTGGAGTCGAGCTCGTGATGTGGTGGAGCCCGAGTTGGGATGTGACAATTTGCTATCAGAACTAATCCCTGGCTGGAAGTGTGCCGACGAGGACGTTAGGCCCCTAAGGGGGGTGGATTGTTAGATTCCACATCGCCTAGTGAAGAGGATCATCTATGCCTTATATGTATATACCTACCTTCATATAGCACGAGGCCTTTTGGGAGCTCACTGGCTTCGGAGTTCATCGGAACTCCAAAGTTAAGTGAGTTTGCGCTAGAGCAATCCCAAAATGGATAACCCATTGGGAAGTTCTCATATGAGTTCCCAGAAACAAAACTGTGAGGGCATGGTCGGGGTTCAAAGCGGATAATATAGTGCTACGGCAGAGTCGAGTTCGGGACGTGGCGGAGCCTGGGACGGAATATGACATACCAAATGTTGAAAATTACGAAAGTTGAGGTAGTAAAGTGAGATTTGCCTTTTTTTTTTTTGTTTGTTTGTTCGAAGTGCTTTTTAAGTACTTAAGTTGGCCGATTGCGCAGCCAAACAAGGGGGAAGAAAGTTTTAGCGGCAAAATCTACCAAAGAGAGAAGATGGCGTCAGTAATCGGATGGTACGGGCCGCTCATCGACTTGTCCAAGGCGGCGTTTCACGTCGGCGATTACGTTCAGCTCGTCGTCTACGTCCACCGAACGACTCCCCTTCAGGTGTCGTATCTCTGCTATTTTCTTTCTTCTTTTTTTTCATTGTTATTTATTTTTAAAAATTAAAATTTTTGTTTTTCCAAAAGTATAAATTAGCGAAAGGCGGAGAGGTGATCCGAACTGACATCCAAGTCGGCGATGAGACGAGGCCCTTCTTCTCCGTATCCATTTGGCAGAAGCCAATCGGATCCATGGCCGTAGCCGGCGACGTCGTTTTGTTTCAAAGTGAGCGAAGCTCCAACACTTACTAATTATTATTATTAGTGATTAATAATCCAGTTTAATTTTGTTAATCAGTTTTTTTTTTCTTTTCTTTTTTTATTTTTATTTTATGGTTAATTTGATTCAACAGATGTGAAGATAACGAAATATGGTGATGTTGTTGAGGCCAGAACCCACCAGTATTCATCCCTAAAATGTTTACTCCACCCCTATAAATCCATACTTACAAAGGGTATGATAGTAATTTTATAGCAAGCGTTACGTTTAGAAACAGTTGTCACACTGTCAATCGGGATCTTGCATTCAATCAAAGAATGATTTTGATTGATAGTAAGACCACGTAACATATCAGACAGTATGATAAAAGATAATACGTGGACGTAAATTTTCGAGACTACATTCTAAGACTGCTTTTACATTCAGGGGTCAATGACTTGATAGAGGAGTGTAGAGATGGGGTAGCAACAAAGGAAAAGCTTAAAAGGGTAGTGGAGTGGGTGAAGAAGAGGAACACTCAGCTCCATGGATGTCAACTGCAGGAGGGAAGACTCTCGCGAAACTGGAAGCCTCCGGAGGAGAGGAAACAACCCGAGGACTGCTTTTCACTTTTGCAGTTATCGACTCTAACCAGTTCTTGCAAGGCGCTCTTTTACGCGTCTGTTGCTGAAATTTTTCTGCCCTTCAACTCGACATCTCATGTTCAATGCAAGTCCTTCGACAAGGAGGACATGTTTGTTAGTAGGAGACTGTATAAAGCAGGTGATGGTGGTTTGGCGAGAGATCTCATTTGCACAGGCTGCCAGCTTTGTGGTTCTCCTCTGGAGCTCGACAGGTACGAATCGAAATCAGATTACCATACGCTTTGTTCCATTGCAAAATAGAGATGATTACGGGTTGATGGCGAATGTTTTGGTGCCTTTTGTTGCAGCGAGAACATGTTTAAGCAGAATGCAGTAGCACTTTACTGTTCAGAAAGCTCAAACCACCTTCATGTCATAAGCTCCATATACAGGCCCTTCATGGTAGGGATTTGTTTTCCCACTGATCACGTGTTGTCCCGAATTCAGTTTACGCCTACTATTCCCCATGATTTGTTCCAATCTGATTGCTTTCTGAGTTCTTGTTTGTTAAATACATGTTAAACACGGCTGTTCTCTTTACTGCAGCTATATGTGTGGGATGAATCGGATTATGCACCGCTCCTGGTCAGAAACAAGGCCGCAGAGCTCTTGTTCGGGAACGTCAAGGCTGAAAGAGTCTATTCGTGGGGGGAAAAGCAAGCCGGACAAGTTGATTCAAAAGATGTCCCAACACATTCTAGTCTAAATGCAGAAGCGGCCTGGCAACCTAAAGCGGCGGAGGGAGGTGTTCTGGTTTCTTGTTCAGCAGCTGGAGACAAGAAGAGCTCGGAATCAAGGGGAAAACATTGTTTTCCGGAAACCATGCACTTTTACAGGATTTGGTTGATTCTTCTGAAAACAATGCTGCAGAGAGGAAAGAACAGCCCTTTGAAATTTGTAGTCGATGTAAACGCCGGTTTAGACAAGGAAAATGGGAGGTTTGAAATGGTTTCTGTACAGTTGCCATGCTTCGAAACCAAATAATCTTCACTCTTATTGTTTCTCCAGAAGAATTAGGAGTTTCTTTTCGTAATTATACATCGTATGAATCACAACATTTGCTGCTATACACCTTTAAAGTGATTTTTCGTTCAGGTATTTCCCAAGATAGATAAAAACAGAGCAATTTCGAATGATTAACTCATGGAATCGCCACCATGCGATGGAGATTAGACATGACGTCATATCATTAACAACTTTCGCGTGATTATTAACCCATGAAAAAGGGAAGGCAGAATTCAAACAAACAGTAAAGCAACTTGAAGAGAAAACTGACAGCAGCGAAAGACGAGTGTACTGTCCATATGGTTACGAGTTAAAACTATGACTCTGCCCCAGTCTCAGCAAAAGAAGCATCAGTTGCACAAGTTTGCGCTTCTAATAGCTTCGCTTGGCGTTCTGCATGTTCTCTTTCACATTGAGTGATCCCCATAATAATATCGAGCATGGTACCTGTTGTGCCGAAGAACACAAGCGGAGCTAGAGATTTCCTTTTTATCCCCACCGGAATTGCTAGTAGAGCCCCTGCCACTGAGAATACCCAAGTGCCCATTGCACTGCAGAAAATCAGGTACACGGTATTACTCATCTGTCCCTTAAGGTAGCAAATAAAACAGGGTAAAGCTAATGCGGCAAAGACAGTATCTACGATGACAAAGAGAAATACGCCTATATGATTTTGACATTGTATAATGAAGCTGAGCGATGAATTGCTGTTTCAGCCAGATGACATTCAGAATGTAATAACAAACGTATCTTGATATCTTATTTACGAATGTTCATTTTTATCGGAGAGGGGTAATAAAGGAAAGAAAATCACTTTTCTCTTCCAAGAAACAGCATGGATCAATAAAACAAGCAATACAATGAAAAGAAAAGCAAATCTCTGCAGATTGCAAACCATAAAAAAGTAGAACGGAAGAAAACAGCATGGGTCATTGTGAAACATGTTCCGAACACCTCTACAACTGTCAGTAGATAGGTCTAAATCCTCGATGCTAGAAAGAAGTTGTTAATGTCAATTGTAGAAGAGCATAAATATCCTGGTTTATAACACAACCACGCAGTTTAAAAGAAATTGGTGATCTCCTTGCTCTGCGGAGATTTGTTAACCTAATTTTCAATAACAAATTGTTTGTTGTTCTTTTTGACAGGTGAACACCAATAGGTATGAGATTATATCGATCAAACTGTCCTAAGATATGCACAGCTTAAGAGTCTCTGAGTAACCAAAATAAGCTTTTTCCTGTCAAAATAATAAAAACTCTGGTGATGTAACAAACAAAACCGTCCAACGGAATAACACCAGTTGATGGTACCATAAACCAATAAACATAAGTATTCACAATACTGTCAAAGATAAGCTTTCGATATGTTAATCATGAATTGTGTCATGATCCAGTATTTGAAGTAAATTTCACTAGAAAACAAGTGGCACCCTCCAGAGCTGAAGAAATGGTTTTCTTTTTGTGTCTGCTGCAGCCGAAGAAACGGCAGAATGTTCGTAAACGAAGTTTAAAAAACCAAGAAAGCATGATCAAAAAGGTAGAATGCATTTAAATCTTAGCTCATTTCACCAATTCCATAAGCTTCCAATGAATTCCTAATTTCCTGATGTCTTATTACGGATATTTGAAAACAATCTGCAGTCAGTGTTGTTCTAAATGGGCCAAAAAACTGAAACGTCAAAGACAATTGAACACGAAATTATCCCCTAACATTACTTCCGCAACATCAGTAGCGATCCGCAAACATCGAAAAAGTATAGATCCAAGCACAAAGCAGAAACAATAATGTTAAATAAAATCACAGGAAGGAAGAAAGATTAAACTGACTTGGCAACTGAGCAATCCTCAAGCTGCTTCACAGTCTCTTGGCTTCCCATTCCTCTCTGGTTTCAGCTGCAAGCAATCCACTTCAATCCTGTTTCACTCTTCTGTCATTTCGACAAGGCGAGGTTTTAAACTACTCTAATCTACATGGACACGGAAATTCAAACTCAATGGCGGGCACACTATCCTGACCAACCGGCCTAACTCACATCCGCTCGACTTTAGTCAGTTCAAAAACTAAACTTTCTCTTCCCCATTTTACTAAATTTTAGAGTTATGAAAGAAATGATAACGCCGGATATCGTTAATCACCAAAACCCTAGAGAAACTGTAAAACCCCAAATCAAAAGCAAAACCCTAAACTCTGAACAAAAAACAATTCAATTTTGAATATTCCAAAAATACCCATTGAAATGCAAGCAAATGGAGAGCTCACCTGATCAGACACGGAGCCGGGAAGACGAAGAAGCTTTCATCACAGTCCTCAAAGAGTTCAACTTTGATTTTGTGCCCCTGAGCCCGATTCGGGTCCTTGGTTTCATGGGCCGAATCGTTCCGGGTCGGGTTTATTCTCAAACTCAAAAAGCCCAAAGACCGGCCCGCCTATATAAAGGAGTTTCAGTCCCTTACAGGGGAACAGGAGAGAGATGATGAGAGGTGTAGGAGGTCCTCTTCTGTGCATTGGCGATCTGCTGAGCGACGTGGGGGAGTCAGATGCTTCGCCACCACCGCAACAACATGAGCCCTCGCCGTCGTCTTCGTCTGTTTCCAGCTCCGCTCAGAGCTTGGACCTCACCAAGTTGTTTCAGGTTTCCATGTTTTACAGTCTCATTTGCTTTTTTTATTCGCTTTTTGTGAATTGCAAAATCAGGTTGGTGGTTAGGTGGATTTTTCAGATGTAGTATTCTTTTTTATAGGAAGATGGATCGTGAAAGTGTAGAACTTATATGTGAAATTTAGTGCCCGTTTGAGATTGTTTTGAAAAAAATCAAAGTGCTTTTGTTAGAAACACGTCTGAGAATTCATAAACGTATTTGCTAGAATTGTTCTTATTAGAAATATGTTTATGTTTTTATTTAAAAAATGAAGTGTTTTCATTAGAAACACATTTGAGAATTCATAAATGCGTTTGCTAGAAGTGCTTTTACTAGAAACACAGTCAAAATTTTTGTTAATAAAAGTACTTCTATGACCCCATAAGCAATTTTAAGTCTTTCTCCCAAACATAGTCCCAAACAGGCCTTTAGACTTTTGAGATCATGGGCTAACTTGGTACATTTTGCTAAACTTCTGCTGCTCTGAAAGAGCTGAGTTTTCTGCGTCTTGAAAAGTAGTTTTGCATTTCTCTTGTTGTTGTTTGTGAGTGTTCCTTACTCCATATTCTATCTTTGTTCTAGGAGAACTACGAACAGTTGAATGAGGCGCTTGGCGGTACCGACCACTCATGGGCAGCTCTTACTTTGAAGGTGATGGATGATCTTTATAACAATGTTTGAATGACATATCTATAGATTCTGCGATACTTTGACAGAGAAAGGAATCCGGAATGGAATGATTTTGAATATCAATTTATTAGTAAAAAGCCGTCTCCTACATTTGAATTGCTGAAATAAGAACTTTATGTGAGAGTCGAAGCCCCAAAGGGAGAATTGGGAATTTTTCTCATAGGGGATCAGAGTGGTTTTCCTTGGAGACGCAAAATCCGCCCGCCGGGTTTTATCAATTTGCAAATTCTTCCAAAGTTTGTCAAAATAATGAAATTTGCTGATATCATGACGATACTAAGTAGTATAGATATCATTATGGGAGAAGTTGATCATTGAAATGATAATTGATACACCGGAAGTACAAGATATCAATTCATTTTCTAGATTAGAAGTTTTAAAAGAGGTTTATGCAACTCTATGGGTTCTTGTTCCTATTTTGACTCTCATAGTGGGAATCAACTCTGGTCCATGTTTCGAAGAATGGATTCTTGAATCCCATTGAATCTAAGATACAATATTTGGTTTACGGTATGAGGGAAAGGCATGTATATGTGATATTAGACATTAACTAGGTATATATGAACGAAAGATTATCTAATTTGTCCTAATTTAGATAGGGATTCCAATGGAAGTCCTTCTGTTTTAGGATGATTAGTGTTCCACTTCTTCTTGCCACGCTATTAATTGTTCTCCATAATTTGTGCAGTGTCTAGTATGCTTTGTAACATTTAGAAACTTGTTCTTGCATGGTAAACATTTTATTTTATGGGTTCGGATGTGGGGGGATGTACATTCACATGATTTTAGGAGTTTGAAATTGGAATTCTTCCAAGGTAACTTAAAAGGAAGATGGTGGGATATGCATCTTTGTGCGTAGACGTTGAGGCATTGGTTTCTCCTATATCCTAATCTGTTTCCAAAAGGTTGTTCACTTGAGCAAACGCATTTGTAAACACTAGTTGGACTTCACCTGTGTAATTCTTTTGTTTTACGTTTCCATGAATGCTCATTTGTCTTGTAGATTATCCTTTGTTTATTTAGGGTAATAGTATCTTTTCTGTGACTCATAGTATGGTGTAAAGATTCTGAACTGTTTATCTTTTATTTATTCCAGTTATGCAGTGCTCTGCAAACTGCAAACAAGTTAGTTCAATCAACAAACTCAAATGTCATGTTGTTGTCGGAGAAGGTTGGAGAGCTTGAGGGAGTTGTTAAGAGGGCAGATTCTGCCATGGCTGCAGCAAGGGTCGTCCATGGTTCACTAAACAAAAAGGAAGTACCACTTGATAGCAATCAAAACGCCAAATGATGTATGTCTTGTCGAGAACAAGGTCAGTAAATTCAATCACGGGAAAAAGTCTGAAAAATACAAAGTCTTAGAAACTGCAGTGTTTGCTTTAGTGTTAGAATATTGTCTTTTCCTGTACTTTTCTTGATACTGTAAAAGATATTATATCAAGATGCAAACTCTAATTCTGAGTGGCGACGCTAAATGCCATGTCAAGAATTGTATGCGTGATTAAAATAATAAACCTTTGGTTTTTTTGCTTCATTTTCACAACAAAAGGAACTTATAATCATGTAATAGGAGTAAGAAAGCTGACTAGTCTGATGCAAAAGGGAGATGTAACAATCAACTGTGCATCCTTGATGGATAGAAATCATAGAACAGATCTCTCTCTTGCTTATTTCCTGAGATGACTCATCAAACGGAGAGCTTTTGTTCCTACGGTTTTAAGATATATTCCAACACAGCGGTCATCAGCTCACTTGCTTGCTATTATTTGTGAATCGACAGGTTTGTAAGAATCTGTCTTGATATTATCATTTCAGCAGTTATTGGTTCTTACATTTGTTGTTACCATCTGTTGCCTCAAAGAGCTCTATTGTAGAATATAGCATCGACAGTCTCATTGCGTTGGCTATTTTTTCTGTTAAATGATTGCAAGCTGCGTTGACGGATCTGAAGCAGGGACATCGTTGGCGCGATGAATGTTGTTTAGAAATCTGTAGATTGTTGTTTCTTGTCCGAGAAATGTTCGAGTAGTGTAGAGGTGTTTTCTGCTACGTATGTGCTTGCAGCGCGGTAGTACACTGTCGGGGATTCTATAGACTCGGCCGAGTTATATTTGTTTAAAACCCAAATCTATAGCAACAACCCGTAACAAAATGAAACCCAAATTCAGTTCAATTTCCTAGTCTTGTTAAAACACCCTACTAATTTTACCAACCTCTTTAATTCAGCAGAATTTTAATACATTTTCGTTCAATTTACCGCGTTGAAGTTTTGTAGAAGTATGACATTAAGGCCACTCATTTGATGTAATAGTTTATGGACTTATTTGTGTTAAAATCTTTTATGATTTAATGGAAGGGCAATGTTAATTGTTAATCACTATTTAATGTATTATCTATTCAATCAATAACAAAATCCAACGAATGTTGTAATCAACCTAAGAGAGAAGTGATCTAAGTGTTAGATCAACGATACATTTCTCTTATTAAGTTCATTTCTAAAATGTTCCTAGCCATAGGATTGTTAACTGGGCATTGGTAATCCTCTAATGCTAATATGTGTTATGTCAACTCAATCGAGAGTATGGTTGGCCTCAAAGTCATTAGTGTTAGACGCTAAGACATACACGTAGGTGCTCCAATGGTTGTTGAGTATAAGCAACGATGAACGAGTTCTGACATACATGTCATGTAAGAACTCCTTGGTTGTAATAATGCAAAGTAATCATTTGACTTAAGACACCACTGATGCCTTGTGCGTACGCCTTTGATCATTTGACAGTGTAATAAAGTACATGCCTTATCTTGGCCAATGTTCCTAGCATTGTTGGGGTCATTGATTTATTCATAAAGACATGTGAGTGTGCAATAAGGGATCTCTAACCTTCCATAGTGGAAGAAGAATACTTTAATATATGGTTCGAAAGTCTTTGGCCAAAGCATATGAATATAATAACTTAGGAAAAATGTTCCAAATCATATTCACTAGAATCATTTAGAGAAGTATCATATTGGATAGTAGACATGAAAGAAACTATCAAACAAACAATGTGATCAAGAGTATTGATTTAGAGAATGATCGTATTGCATTGTAGTTGTAACTGAATAGGTTATCCAACCACTTTTACTTAGCTTGGGTAGTAATGACATACTGTTAGGTGTCATCCATGGTTTGGACAAGCCCTGAAGATTAGCAATCAATAATCTTCATCACAGGGATAATTTAAAGAAGTTTCAATTCGCAAACGATTAAGAGTTACCATCGCCCACTGCCTCGCTAATTGGAACCTAGATCGTAAACCATGTAAGGATGTGAAGAAATACAAATGAGATTGATAAGATCAATTAAATAGTTTAATTGAGCATAGTCAAGATTAATTAAAATTTAATTAATCATACAAATAAGTTTGTATTGGCCTTAAATTAGTTTTGGATTCTCGAGGCACAATGGGCTTTGGTCCATAAGACTCATTAGGCTTAAGTTGTATGAAAACTTAAGACCAAATGAGCCAAATGCCCTAAGAAAGAGCAACGTCAACTATGCTAGAAAGGATGACCTTATTTACACTTATGCCACTTAACTTTGAGTGACTACAGAAGGGCTGTTATAACCCAAAACTCATTATGTTTGTTTTGACAAGAAACTTGGAGGCACATTCTCTCATCTTCTTCTCTACCATAGTAGGCCACTATAAGGACATTTATTAGTATCAAATCTTCCAATAGTTCTTCTATCTTCTCTTTTTGCTGTGGAGCCTTAGAGGCACCATTCATTTGTGCTTAGAGAATCCTTTCATCAAATCCTCAAGAAGCAAAGAAGTAAGGAAGAAGCAAAGACCTAGGGATTCAGGAAGCCAAATCCATAGAGCCTATGAAGACGATTGAAGGCCCTCACATGGCTGATAATCTTGTGAAAACAAGGATGAACTTTAAGGGTATGAAAGCTTAATCTTTCTTCTTTCTTTTATGAAATAGTCTTGGTTCGCCACTCACTAGGCCTTGAGTTTTTGGGGACAAAGATTTGTTTTTGAGTTCATGCTTTCTTTTGTAAATATATGCATTTGTTGCTCAAATAATCTATCCATAGTCAAAGTTTTTCTTCAAGTTTTTCATTGCAAACTTGCTTAGAGGAGAAAACTTCAGTGTGGGAATCGATGTCACACCCCGATCCCAAAGTACATCTAAGATCGATCCGTGACGTCACCACATCCCTGTTTATCTATCATGTCTCGTTTCCGAGACAAGACCAAAACACAATCAATGGTTCAACCACACAATCACTTTCTTTTATTTCATGGTTGCATCTAAGACGTGCGTTAGACTACCTACGTACCCTAAATAAGGATCAAGCCATTAGTAGTTCACCTTTTGTTAAACTCTAAACTTTTTGCAATACACTTCCTAACAGAAACATAGAGTACCACACTACATAATAACCATATGCCTTCCAAGATTTGTCATTTTGTCATTCACATATGACACATGCTTTCCAACACCATTCCACAATTGCATCAATTAATCAATTCCATGAATCAAAGATGCACAATATTAACATTTAACTATGCTAATCAATCATCAAGATCACATATCATTTCACGAAATTTAATAAAGGAATTCTACATAACTCCCTATCTGGATTCCAAGTAATAACATGGTAACTAAATTATAAACACGATGTCTACTGTGAGTAGTTCTCATTCACTTGAATCTAGGGCTTCAAACTAAACTTTATGGAAATGCGTAAGGGTGAGGATTCCAGACAACTCAACGGAATCCAACTAAAATATGGTTACCTGTTGAATTGTACCAAGTACAACTAATCCTCATAACCCTAGGTAGGCAATGATCACCCATCGCGGATATACCAAACATGATCACCCCTAGAATGCGTATGGTCCCCCATTGTGGATATACCAAGTAGAACCATAAGCACAATCTAATCGTGCATGCAGTGATCACTCATCGGGGATATACCAAGCATGATCACTCATAAAATGCGTATGATCCCCCATTGTGGATATACCAAGCAGAACCATGGGCATAGTCTAATAACATAGGCAGTGATCACCCATCACGAATATACTAAGCATGATCACCTTTAACATATGTATAGTCCCTCATCGCGGATATACCAAGCATGACTGTATTCTATAGCTTTAGGTAATGATCACTTATCGTGGATATACCAAGCATGATCATCCCATTGCAGATAAACCAAGCAGAACCATAAGCATAGTCTAATCGTGCAGGCGGTGATCACCCATTATGGATTTACCAATCATGATCACCCTTGAAATATGTATGGTCTTCTATCACGGATATACCAAGCAGGACCATTCATGTACCACTGCTACTTGGTGCAGTTAGATCAACACATAACCTACTTACCCCTACCTCAACCCCTATGATTTACTATGTAAGCACCTACACTATCAACTTATCATGACCACTAACTATCTTGTCATACCAACGTATAAGTTATATAGAATACTTCTAATGAGATTCTAGGCTCGTATTTCTATACTAGCAATCATACATTTCATTTGTATCACCTAAAAGTTTAGTAAACATGTATAACATAATAAGATGCCACTTACACGTAAATCAAGATGCACATCACTTATGATAACTCACTAACTAAGATAGGCCCGCTAGGCTCCACTAGGTCTCTAATAATGCTACATCTTGACCAAAGTCAACCCTAGTAATCCAATCAGGAAAACCCGTCCACTAGATTTCCAATCCGTAAGTTCCTAAAGTTCTTAAGTATTACGTACAATAACATACTAAAGTTTGATGACGATCCAACGGTCGGATCGTCGTTTGCTACAATGGTCAAGTGGTATTCCTTAATGAAACTAGGTTCAAATGACAGAATTACACTAATTGGGTGTCAAATATGGAACCGGGGTATCAAATTCAGCCTAGAAGGATCATGTGGTTTCTCAGGCCACGTGCCGCATGGCGGCGATTTCCGACGAATGGAAACCAAGTTTTACAAGATTGTAGAACACAACAAGGGAAAAAACTTTCATATCTGGGTCGAAGTCTAATTCGGCCGGGAAATACTTGAAATTTGACGTGGATCATTAAAAACCCTAGAATTGGGTGGTTGTCGATTCGTCTTCTTCGTTGTTCCGCCGCCCCCAAACTTGTTTGGGTTTGTTCATGGGCTCAAGAAGATGCTAAAGATGGTGGTGGTCGAAGGAAAATGCTTCAGAAATGGTGGATCGCCGTTGGAGGGTGAGCACTATGCACAGCAAAATGGGGCCAAAACTCATAGGATTTGGGGGTGGAAATCGCTTGAATTCGAGCTTGCTACCGTCGGGTCAGCAATCGAGTCACACGGGTTAGTCTCTGACCCAACCCATTGGCTCTCTCATTTCCTTTCTCTTATTTCTCTCATTTCTCTCATTTCCCATTGGTTCACTCCCTTCTCCCCTTTTTGATTAGTTCACCCTCCCATTAAATGGGGCTTTCCCCACAATCTGATTGGTCCTTCTTCCAAACAAAAATAATAATTTTTTATAGAGAAAT